GGTGGGTCACCGGTACATACAACTGCAATAAGATAATAATACCTTAAAGCTTGAATATAAGATTTTATTATAAGTTTTGACGTAAGGTCCAAGATGTCAATGAAGATGTGGGTGGTAGACGTCAACATACGACGGACAAAACGACCCTCTTGAATGTCTCAGTCACCAGCGCTTATGAGCCTTGTGTGGACCAGGTACCGCATATTAAATAAGCCAGATTCTCGGTTCTACAAAAATGGTGGTGGCCCTATATAGTTGTGATGTAGGTACCTCGGCTCCTTGAATCGCCACTTGTATTTTTTAGTTAGCATCGGAATGCGAGGTCTAAATCGATGTGAAGTGCCACTACTCGACGTATCGAAATGATTGCGATGTCCGATGATGACGAGGTCTCTTTATAATGTGCGATATACTGTTTTAAGATGTAGTAGCTTATTAGTATTGTGGAAGTGGTTTTCATAAAATCTAGTCAGACACCATAGTATTATACTACTTTAATAAACCCTGCTGGTTAAATATTTAACTTTTATAATTCGTTGATTTCAGAATATAATCAATATTTGAAAAGCTATTTCCTAACTTGCTGATCTCTGAATTAAAACTTTCACTATGATTGATTTTCTTTTTTTGCCATAGGAAACCGGTTTTAAATTAGATTAAACTTTAAGAAATGACTGATTTATTAATCAATAAGATCTAGAGTGGAGAAATAAATATCAACAAAAGTATGAAAATGAAAACTTAACATTAAAATTAAACTAGGTGTAATGAAACTTGAGACCTATTCTGTTAACCCTTTTTAGTTTTTATATTTACAAAAATGTATTGAAGTCTCAAGTGAAACAATATATATATATACCTATATATATATACTTAAAATCATTTTTTATTGAAAATATTTTTAAGTCTGTTACACTCAAAAATGTTACAAATATAAATTCTATTAAGTCACATATTATTAGTTTCTTTTTAACCTTAACGACTGATGTGTAATACTTTGGCTGAAAACTTATGGCAAGCTCTATGACTGAATATATTAAAACGTACACTCCCCATATTATTCATGTAATACATATATATATTGAAAGACTAGTGAGACGATAACAAAACAATAATTATTTTATATATATTTTATTTATTTGTATAAGATACGCAAACAAAAAGTTTATGTTTTAAATTAAAATATAAATTGAACTAAAATAATAAAAAAAATATCATTGTTTTCATCAACAATGATAGTATAATCGAGAATTTTAAATAATTTTATATTAAACAAACAAATCTTTTCTATACCAAGACCATCAAAACTGGCAATTGTTAAAACTATTCATTTTTTATACCTGAATTGTTCTTGGCAGTACTAATTGAAATAGTATTTGTTTGCTTCGTGATGTCAGTTAAGTAAATTAAAACACAGTTACGTTTATACATATATACGACCAAAGTATGCAAAAAACGTCACCAGTTTAAATTTTACCTAATTTTAAGAAAATATTTGACATTCTAATTAGATAGATATCTATTAAGAAAAATATAATGTATCTTCTAATGCTGTACCTAGAGCTAGACTTCTGTGACCTGTGTTACTTCAAGCTGGGTCTAGCGATAGTTTAAATATAATATTGATTGCTACCACAGTTAGTAAATGTTATTTCATATAAATACCGTAGGCATATGGACTGGGTTTTAAATATTTCAATAATACATCAAACCATTTATCAGGTGATTTGACATGTAGGTATGTTTTCCTGATTATAATAAATCATTCAAAGCAGCAGTAAAATTGTTACTTGAGTCGCTGAAGAATGAAATGATGTAATCTTGATATTTCAAATAAATATGAATTCAAATCTATTCTCCATATTATACTCTGCTTCTGTAGGTATATGACTACGCCATTGTGAATAGTCATTAAATAAAAATAGTTTTTCGATATATGTATTTCCTTTATTAAAATGGAACCTACTTCTCTACTTTATTATTTAAAAAAAAAACTACATTATCAATGCTTGATGAACATTCATATTTTTACATCCGAAACAATTTCTATTTATGAAACATTCTGTATAGAACGCATGTAATAAATAGGTTGGTTATATTTTAAATATTAGGCGATCGAAAATTATTCTAAATATTTCTAATATATTCGGAATTTATTTCTCTTATAAGTATTTACGCTATTTTATTCTAAATTACTATAATACATAAAGTGCCATAAAACAGATTCACGGAAAGTTATGACAATTGTTTCAGAACACAAAATATTGTACCTATAGTTTTATCAATAATTCATAAAGACTGTTCACAAGTGCTCAAACAATAAATCATATCTCTCACAATTTTCTTACGTCCATACAAATATTATTCAAAATGAAAATAAGTGAGTGCACAAGAACTATATATACCTAAAATAATGTTCTATTTAAGATTTTGAAGGTTCTATGATACTTAGTTTAGCAAATTTATTAACATTTTCACTTAAAATGTGAAAAACAATTAACAAATCTAAGAACCCTCATAGCTAGAACCTTATATAATTCGTATATCTTAATTGAAAGTATCAAAGTAAAGACTAGAAATGATATTTAGTCTACTATGCTCTAATCTACCTTACAGCTATTTATATGCTAAATTAAATATATACATAAAAACTCATAAATACATTAAAGTATGGGCTACATAATATTCTATGTGGTCTTTCACTAACATGTGATGAGAATGAATAGAACCCTTGATTTGATATTATTTAACTGAGAATTTTAAAACATTTTAAATTGTATCTATATTATTTGTTTTATAAAAATGTACAAGACCTTTATGAATCTCTATTAAAAATGAACAATTTTGTGATAACTCTACTACCATAATTTATGTTCATTTCACTACAAATGAATACTATTAATCAGATGTGTTAATTAATAATAGTAAATATTGAAAGTGTTCGTATCAACTCATCTGACGGTTATCGCAACAATTCGTTTCCCTGCTATTCGCCTCCCGCTTGCTTCGTTCCGGCCACCTAGGACAAAAATAATATTTATTTATTTGAAAACATTGGTGTTGATAAAAGAAGGAATGAGAAACATGTACATATGAGTATACAACATTTTAATTTTATTTATGTATCTTATGAACTGACATCAAATTCTTACGGAGGCAATCAGCAGAGAGACAAAGATTTTCAATATCTGCTAATTTCTAGATAGATGTTGTCTATAAAATAATAATAGTATGAAATAAAACAATTCTATATGAAATAATTGTAACAGGAGATAGAGAACAGTAATAATATTTACGAAATGGAGTTCAACTAAACCCACCTAGCATTTTTAATAAAAATTCATATTATCATTCTTGAAAGCTAGAAAGCTGAAATCCGTTAATATTATTACATCTTTCTGATAATAAACGAATTACACTGTTTTTGTTACGAAACAAAATTTAATAAGTGGGTATACAATATTTCCATGTTTCATTTGTAGAACTAAATAGGTACATGTTATAGCTTATATATTTATTTGGTTCTACCGAAGCTTTTTCTTAATATACATATTAAAACAGATCGGAAATCTAATTAAAGATCTTGTAACAAGTAAGTTATAGGTAGTTTAAGAGATGTGTGGCAATAAATATAGTCCAAATATTATTTTTGCCGGCAGATTTTACTGCCTTTTATAAAAACATTATTTTATATGTTAGTGAACGTTTGCCATAAAATTTTACGACTGTTTCATGTAGTTTACTTTTAAGTGATTGGGCGAACACTAAATAGTGTAGGTACTGTTTTGTGATGATCAAATAGGTTGATAAATTGAACATAAAATGCCATCAAAGGAAATAAATATGCCTAAAGCTGGCTAAGTTTGAACTATGTATAAATTACTCAGGCTTAAATGGGTATTTAATTGGCATTAGTTAAATATTAAATTAAGATGTTTGAATATGTTTTTATGTAGAATTGTATATAAACGTTGACATTTTATTTGTATTCCTTTCACTTCAAACGCTATTTCTCAGTCACCTTAAGCCAGATATCTTAATCTTTTTTCATTATGAATAACCTATCTTTATTAATATGTATTTATCGAAAGTTGAACGTTTCTAAACTTTAACAGAATAACTAATTTATTAAAATGACTCTGCATAAGAACACAAACAAGTGACACTATTTGGGTGTCGTTTCATTTATTTATGTGTACAATTGGCCAACAGATGGTCGAACAGAATTGAAAAGATTTAAAATTAATATATTATGTTAACTTGAGGCAACGTTTGCACATTTTTATTACACTGATTACTTTTGTATTATTTAAAGGAAAAATTAATAGAGGTCGATAATAACTTTAGAATATAATATTTTACTTACTCTCTACACCGTTATTACATATTACAAATATTAACAGAAACTGTACATAATAATTTCAAAAACCTTAACATTCTACAGTTTAGTTAGTTTACACTGATCGTTGGCTCGACCACAAATACTCAAACCTCAAACAATTCAATAAAAAATAATAACAATAATTAAATTAGAATAATAAACAAATATCGGTTTGTCCAAAGATGATGCGGCTCGCTGCTATAACGGTTCCTCGTACAAGCACTCAGAGTTATGACTTAAATGGAACACATGTAAAGTTAAGACATACCTAGAGGTGTGAACGGAGCAGGAGGCGGCAGGGTTGACCGACGATCTGTAAACAGTAGTTATCGACACGCCGCCACTTGTATTGGTTCTGTAGCATCTCCGGCTAGGAGGCTATATTTATCCGCTCTGGAACTGACGAATACGGCTAAATCCGTTCGGCGCCATATGATGTCGATCTCCTGTAACCACAACCACGTCACGAAACAACCCGTCCGTCGCCTACCCTGCGGCCGCCAGGGTCGTGGTCGAACGTATCTCGCACAGCGGCATTCGCGTCACACAACTAAAGAAGAATATTTCGCTAAGCGCTTGCGGTGTATATTAAAATATTCTCTCACCTGAGGATAGTGTCTCAGTAGGATTTATGAGCAGAGGCGGGTGCGGCGGCTACGCAAGCTTGATGATGGTAGTAGGATGGAGCTGGCGAACGGTAGTGGTGGTGAGGTGGTGGTGAAGCGCGGTAAGCGTCGGGTGCCGGTGAACTGCCGCGGTATCCCGCCAACTGGCAACTTGGCGGTTCGAAGAGGTCCCGAAAAGCTGGCGGAAGCTGGTCGGCTGGTGGTTCAGGTGCAGAATACCACCCGCTTGTAGCTGCTCGAAACTCTTCGGCTGCTAAAGAATATGGCTGTGGCGAGCAGTAAACCGCGGAGGGCGGTAATCGAGGCTCGCTAAACTCGTCTATAGGCTCACTTAATTTGTCATACCGCGTGCAATCCGCACCGGGTTCTCGTTTTGGTCTACATTCAAATATTCTAGGTTTTACGTCGGGCTTGACGTCTCGCGCTTGTCCTAAAGCATCAGCAGCGCTAAGAGCTTCCTGTGCCGCCAGTTCTTGTGCTTGCTGTAATTGTTGTTGGCGTTTTAAAGCTTCCTCTTTTTCTTTAAGGGCATCTTTTTTTTTGAAACGGCGACGTCGTCTCAAATAAGATCCATTATCAAACATGTTATAAGAATCTGGATCCAACGTCCAATAACTTCCTTTGCCGGGTTTTTTATCGTCCCTTGCAACCTTAACAAAACATTCGTTAAGACTCAGGTTGTGTCGTATTGAATTTTGCCACCCTTGTTTATTTTCTCTATAATAAGGAAAACGTTCCATAATGAATTGGTATATACCATTGAGGGTTATTCGCCTGTCGGGTGCATTTTGAATTGCCATTGCTATCAGTGCAATATACGAATAGGGAGGTTTGACCATATCTTTCGGTGTTCCGACATGCTGTTGATGCGGATGAAGGTAAGGTGGTCCGTATCCATATCTGTATTGATCGTAAGCGTAAGGAGTAACTCCAGCAGAATAACCTCCTGCAGCTCCGCTGCGGTATGCGTAATGGCTTTGTTCTCCAAATAAAGCGTGCATTTTGATAAGAATCGTATGTTCACTGCCACGACATGTTCAAACTCAACCGCGACACTTGGACGCACTTCTCTCACGGATACAAAACGACGACTGACTGATTTTGTTTAGATTCACAACAAGGCACGTTTACATAGCGAGCGCTAAACGAAAAGCGAATGAGCGGGTGTGGGCGACGGCTGTACGAGAGACGTAACGCACAAGGATCCGCCCTCCTCTCTGTGATGTTCATCTCGTTTCGACACCAGCTTTCATCTATAGGACTGTCTCTCTCTATCATTGACAGTGTTCGTTAGGTGGGATGTTATCCAGACAGGGTTTTGTTGAAGGCGGCGCAAACTCGTTTTAATACTGCTTTTCGAAATTTATCCTCCCCTTCGGTCGAGCCCTTAATACCCTTTGTTCGATACAAATGTCAATTATTCTTATTGCCACCAAGCCCATCTCGGCGGACGATTCTATTTAACAATTTGAGAGGTAATATTATTAAATTAAAACCTCATTGGGTTACAATATTTTTATTTGTCATAGTATGTATTAAATTAGTAGATATTGATTCAATAGATTCACGCAGTTATATAAATACCTATTTGAAATTTCGGTTATCATTTATTATATTAATAACGATCTAAAATAAAAAATATTGATAAATAATAAATGACTTAATCAATCTATTCCAAATGAATAAATGTAATTGATTAATAAATAGATACTGGAAATTTCCGGATCCATTGTACTAGATACTTATGTATACGTATGTAATAAGTCTTACCTTGTTTGGATTTTACGAATTTTACTAAACTATACTTAAAGTTTTACGTCATATTGGAAAACAGAAAAGCTAGGTAGGTAAATAAGTATTAAAAGAAAAAATCACAACTACAACAAAATATAATAGATTTTTGCTTCTTTTACTATATATATTTTTGTACTTACTTGAGTTCGTACTGGCTTAAATATTCCACTAAGTAAATTTAAAAATGTTACAAACATTTTTTATAATTTTCTGTTACAATAAGGACCAATAATTGTATATGGGAAATAAACATATTGTTCCTTAAGATATATGTATACCTACCTATACAATAAATTATTTAACCTTTAATAATTCTTAGGTAGGTATATTAAACTTAGCAACACAATAAATTATTATTGTTAAAGAATGTAATCAATTAAGTTTTACAAATTGTATAAGTATTTACAGATGTTAATAAAAAATACGATTAAGTACCTAAAGGTCAAAGGTAAAGCGATCTTGTTTTTTCAAAAAATACTTATAATTCACAAATTGCATGATTAGTTTATTCTTAAAAAATATCTAGTTTAATAAAGTATAAATCTATGTTGCTTTACGTAATTGTATTTAAATTTTTTCTTAAATATAATTATCAGTCCAGTTTTAATCTGATTATAAACTCTTGTAGGTAATTGAAAAAGAATCTTGAATGAACACTAGAGTACCTACAATAACTCTGTTTCTGCCGTAGAAACACTAAACAGTTTTATATTTAACCGTCTACTGTTTTACATGTACTGTCTTGATTTTCCCATGAATGATCATATGACATAATCGGTCTAGTCTATATATATAAAAATGAATTGCTGTTCCTTGGTCTCACTAAAACTCGAGAACGACTGAACGGATTTATCTTATCATAGTCTTGAAATGTTCGTGGAGATTCAGGGAAGGTTTAAAAGCTGATTTTTTTTTATTAATTTCCGGGAAAACCCTAAAAACTGCGCTTTTTTATTTCCCATACAAACGGTTTTTTCACATTAGATTTGACAACTAACTAGTATGTCAATCATTTTGTCGCACTTCAGAACACGGAGATTTATGGCTTAAAGGTAATGGAAAACCAAAAAAATAAATAAGACATAATTTATTTCTCGATTGAGGCAGTACGAAGTCTGCCGGGTCAGCTAGTATAAAATAAGAATAAGAATCGTATTCTTAGTTTATACTAGACCGATTTTATTTTTCAACAAGATTTATATTGACTTGTAAATATATAGTAATGAGCACGTTTTTTATATAGATTTGTTTTATTTTAGATTTAATTTCACTCTATTTCAAGAAAATGTATCTACTAATATTCTATGAATTTGATAAAAATGATATAATTTATAACATGTATATAAAAATCACAATCGAATTGAAAAACTTACGTTTCTGTTGGTAATTTTGACTTTGAATATACAGCTCAGGACCACAATAAATTCACTACTCATATTTTTTGGCTCATTGTATTTTATGTCTTAATGAATTTAGGGATATACTCGACAACTTTTCTTCATATAGGTACCTACCACATATTAGTCGGTAACAGGTAGGTATGTTAAATAAAAATATTTTTAGTTTTAATTTAATTTCTAAAACCATACAAACATAAGTTCAATAAATCAAAATAAAGTAATTTTAATACAAAACAAACTAAGTTAATTATTGGTGGTCACCGGAAATCTAAGTTGACACAAGCCAACGTGCGGTAGGTTTTAAAGCTAACAAAAAATTTTACATTCATCGTATTACTTAAAAACGTTAATACCGTCGTCAGATTAGCGCATTTCCGTTTGTCGGATTATTCGCCATTATTTTAACCTTCAACAAAGAATTTCATGATTTTTTGTTATTTTCTGTTAAAAATATTTAAAACATTTTAAATGGGATTGAATTATATTTTTTTGCTTACTAATTATTTTGTAGATCAGTCTTGTTTAGTTAAGGTCGTAACATTAGTAAAATTTGTATTAGGTATCAAATAGAGTAAAAACAATAGAGTACCTAACAGAAATGAAAGAAGAATATACTTATAGGTATGTATATGTATATATAGTTTTATATTTTAGTTTAATAATTATAATATAGCGAGTAATTTCCCATTACAGCTATTTAATCCCTACTAATTTTATAAATGCGAAAGTAACTCTGTCTGTCTCTCTGTCTGTCAACCACTGAACTGATTTTAATGAAATTTGGTACAAAAATCGAGTTGACCTTGAGAAAGAACGTAGGATAGTTTTTATCCCAGACTTTTGAAAGGTTCTCTTGGGAACGTGATATAACCGAACTCCACGCGGGCGGAAAGCTAGTTTAATATAATATATAAACGAGGTTTCGTCTCAATCACATACCTACGATTTAATTGAATTTAAAATTACAGCACCCAGACGACTCAAATGTTATGATCTTTATCTTTACGGGATTTGTATTTATTTTAGATGTAGGTAATATTTATTTTAGAAATAGAAAGTAGAACAAATCTTTTCAAATTTTAAATACGAACTAGCGTTTGAAAATCTCTTATATCAAGTATCTCTAATATAATTATCACATTAGGTATCGAATTATTAAAAGGGCACAAAAACATAATTATTTGTAAGAAATTTTGGATTGAGATACAAAATTGTAAATTGGAGAAATTATTCACCGACAACCTAATTTTACTAAAAGCTTAAGAATGTTTTCGTTATAGTTAAATCATATTACTGGAATGGCCACACACAGCGGCATGCTTAATAATATACGATACCCACTTGTTTAATAATATAATATGTATAACTTTTAAGGGATAAAATATATCAAATACTGAAACGTGACTACCGCGATACATGTCAAACTTTTTTTAAATAGTAAATTGAAAATGTTTAAAAAAAATCTATTAAGGTTTTTAAACTCTGTTTATATCTTAACAATTGGAATGTGTGAATTGTTATGATAAATACGAAGTAGGTACGATACAATTATAAATTTTAATTTAATCTTCTCATAAAAGTACGGAAGCATCATGTTAGATATTCAAATGTTGAATATCTATCACAATATTCATTTAAATCACCGATCAAATCACACAAACGCTGCAGAGGACTTGCTCGAATGATTGAAAATATAGATTTTAGAGGTACGGTGGAAAAATAGGAGCTATTCTAGCCGTCATATTGGCCTTGGCTGCTCTGCCGAGTTCCTTTCACTTTATCTTCAATATATTTCGTATTTTGCTATGTTATGCATTTAGATTTTTATATGTTTAACCGTCAAAACATTATTTTGAAAATATAAATTGACTTCAGTTGTGTATAAAATAATCTTATACTGCTATTATTATTGTATGAAATATCCTAATTTTACAAATACCTAATTGTCATCGTCAAAAATCAGTCATCAGGTCTTTTCTTCCAATAGATATAGAGATACTATATATATGTTCTTAACATACTCTTTTTGTAGAATGTTCTTTTCAACAATATATTTTCAATATAAGCATAAACAACTCCAATTGAATATGACTTATTAGGTATTTGAAAGTGTTTTAAAATGGAATTATATTTTTTCGATTCTGTTACGCATTTTTGTTATATTTTACATTAAAACCACATTTCGATTATTCTACAGCTACTTACCGTTATCATTACCAGATGAGGTCTTTTCTCTTTATTTTAAATGTGTAGTTTAGGATTCGCGAAACTCTTAGCTACCTTATTTTATATTCATTTTAGGTACCACTTATCGGGTCTCTTTCTGACTTATTTGCTTATATCCTACTGTCTACTTTTCATATTATTGATTTATATAGCTACACTTATTTTTTTATTTGATTAGTACATAATTCTGCTGCAGCATATTAAATCTTTTTTTCTTCCGACAAGCACACTCCAGGTGCAAGTCTATTGTTATTTAAAATAGGTACATATTTCTTTATTAAGTGAAGCTGATAAAGTATGCAATCTGTTTCTGATTACTACATTTCGTTTGTTAATAGGTATAATGAGACGCTTTAAAGTTTAAGCTATACCGACTGAGGGGACAATAATTCTTACACATTAGGTAAACAAAAAAAAGATTTCCGTAGTACTGAAAGAATAAAAATTCGTTATATTAATTCTAGACCGAAATGGATAGTTTCGTCAGGGATTACATTAATAAATATGGACCATGGGCTATTTAATTTTAAATGAAGCTAACTTTAATAAATAATAATTGCAAAATTTATTTAACATTTAAA